TGTAGTACCTGAAGGACATGTCCTAGTGTCCCTGGATGTAATTGGTCTGTTCACAAACATACCAAAGAAAATAGTCTTAGATATTATTTACTCTGAATACGGATTTATTTCCAACTACAAAGATATTCCTAAAAAATACTTAATTGACCTATGAAATTACTGCTTTGACACAAGTTACTTTTCCTATGATGGTAATATTTACTTACAAAAAAAAGGGTCAGCTATGGGGAATCCTGCGTCACCAATTTTAGCTAATCTAGTCATGAATCATCTCATCACTGAAGTTTTAAAAAGTCTACACTTCCATGTCCCATTCATATTTGTGTATGTTTATGATGTATTAGCTCCTCAAGACCAACTGAATGTACTACTAGACACCTTCAACAGCTTCCACCCATCACTCCAATATACGATGGAGATAGAAAATGGGAACAAAATCTGTTTCCTGGATATGGAGATCCATCGCAAATCTAATGGTACCCTTATCACAAATTGGTATTCAAAACCCACTAGTTCTGGTAGGATTTTAAATTATTTATCAAACCATCCTCTCTCCAACAAAATAGGAATCATAAATGGATTTTTACACCGAGCCATCAATCTAAGCCAGAATTTCACACCACTAACATCGAAAAAGTCAAAAAACAATTAATGAACAACAGTTATCCTCTAAGCTTCATAAACAGAAACATAAATATTTAGATTTACAACAAAAACTAAAAGTAACACTAAAACTCAACAAAAATAATTCAAATTTCCTTATATTGATGGACTCTCTCAAAAAATAGGCAGATATCTTCAACAATTCGGAGCTAAAATTAGCTTTTTACAATCCAAAAACCTCTAGCTCTTTTTTTACACGACTTAAAGATAGAGTACCAGAAGGAAAAAGAAGCTCAGCACTTTACAAAATACCTTGTAACTGCGGCAAATACTATATTCGCGAGACAATGCAGTATCTCGACTAAAGAGTTCAACAACACAGGTATGATTGTCGTAATGTTAGAATGTACAATAAAGACAAGACTGCACTGTCAAAACATCATTTTGAAACAGGCCACCTTTTCAAATTTGATGAAGTTAAAATGGTAGACTCTGAACCTCAGATTTATAAGTGAAGTTGAGCGAGATGATTCACATAAATTTAAACAATACAGTAAATATCAAAATTGACACAACAGACAGACTGAGTGGAGTTTATAATACCATACTAGGAAGCTATAAAAATGTCTACGACATTAAATAATAAGTTCCTTAGTTACTAATTGTAGGGAACTTTAATCACAATTAGTATTGTTTGCCCAGCGGATCTGAGTCTACGGAAGGAATTCGGACCTAAATGTGCCATGTTGTCACGTTTAATTATAAAAAAGCGAAAATACTAGGCATGTAGTAAAGTTCATTTGAAAATCCATTTTTTAATAACAAAATATAGATACCAATAAAACGATAAATATTTCAACGTGGTTGTTAGATCTATTCTTATTCTAATAACTGATTTCTTCAATTTTATCCATTGTGAAAAATGATAAATTTTGTAAAGATACCGTTAGTTTTTGACAATTTGGCAAGCATCCGGCCTGGATGAACCTGATTGGTGGAGTTTTTGGCAGGATGGCCGTTGCCACGGTGAATCATGCCGTTGTCAATAAGCTAACGTCACCTTACGTCTCGCTATTGGCCAAGGCTTCCGTCATTTTATCCTCCCATCTTGGAATATTGATTTATATTGAAATATCCAGTGGCGGGGGTTTGGTCATTGGCGGTTTTCGTGTAGGAGTTGCAATACGATAACACTTCCAAAAAATTCCGCACGCAGCTGCGTATTTTATGAATGAAATCAACCATTTTTTTTTACAACTGCATTCCCCTTACCGTTGCCCCGTAGACACAGAGTCGCTGGGCAGACATTAGCCTCCTTTTAATTTCAAATCTGTCTGTATGTTTTCCTTGTTGGTACTGGTTACATCGGTTTGTTATTTAAGTTTAGTGTTTAGATATTTTAAAGCTTTTTAATTTTATATTGTATTATTTTGAATTCAGTTTGAAGGCCATGCAAAACATTTTTAATAATGACAAAAGTTTCTTTCTGAAACAAATTAACAATTTCTTTCTTAACTTCAAAATAATTTGTAAACGTTCCCTTTCAAATGGTTTTTGTTCAGGAGTCCCATCAGTCATCACCCATCACTAAAAGAAATTTCGATGGTCAAAATGTTTAATTAGCCCATCACTGCTACTAATATAACCTCACAAAATCAGCTGTGAAAATCAGTTAGCTAAACATTCAAATTCAAAATAAAGAATTTTTTGGAAAAATTGACTGCTATCCCTAAAATATGTTGAGAAGTGCCTTTGTCCATCCTCAACGGACTCCAGTAACAATAGTTTAAGTAAGTACTGAAATAAACAATTTATTTTATTTATTTTTTCGCTTAAAAAGTGTAATTTACTCACAATAGTATATTTATTGTTGTACTAAGTGCCTGTATTTCCAGTTTCCAGGGCTTGATAAAGAAAAAATATATTCCGAAACGTTGCCGAAAGCTTGATAGTTTCTTTTTTTTTTGTCCTGTCCTCTAACCCACGAAAGTAAAGCATATCTTTACAAGGACACGAAATGATCGCAGTAAATAGAGATTATAAAAAATTATAGGAAGGAACCTGAGTCGTCTTATCAAGAGCGGGGTCTCTCACGAAACCGCCCTGAATGAGGTGATCGGAAAGCGGGCGACTAAAATTCAGCAACCAGAGGGGGATAAATCAAACTCCGGAGCTGCAAGAAAACGCCTGCGATCTGAACCTAGCACCCTGGAACAGGCAAGTAAATGTGCCAGGGTTGGTGCTCCAAGCTTCATGGCCCTCGCTGGAGTTACTAGGGTGGGACTCATCCCCTTGATTACCCCAGCGCAGTCTCAACCAGCAACTAGCTGACTAGCCTGCAACAGGCCGTCCTAGAGGCGGTGCAGAACATGCCAGAAGGCGGTCCGCAAGTACGATTCCAGGGCTGCACTAATCGCCCAGGATGGTTGCAGATAAACTGTGCCGACGACAGTAGTCTGGTCTGGCTGGAGGGCGCGACAAAGCACCTCACGTCTGTGTGGCGTTCCTCCCCGACGATAAGGACGTTCAACGCCTTGCGTCAGAGGAGGTGCTACTCAGGCTGAGGAAGATGAACTATGGCCTGAACACCCGAGTGTGAATAATCCTACATCGGGAAAGCTCAGGCCCGGGTCAGACATGGACCTTTGGCGTCGACGACGGATCCCTAGAGGAGTTGAGGTCAATGCTCTTCAGGCCTTACTTTGGCTTCGGCCAGGTAAGGTTTTGTCTCAAGGCCAAGGCTTCTCAAGATGATTCTGGGGAGAAACAGGGGGTGAGCAACCCTCCTCTCAAGGAATCAGCTGCGGCGGGACCTTCTAGCGGCAAACCAACACCGGACGGTGAAAGACCACTGACTGAGCAGGCTGAAATACCCGGGAAGGGTAAATCCATCCCGGGCAAAAACTGGAAAAAGATACCGGCAAGGGAGGAAAGACGGGACCCAGAGGCCCTGACAGACCTCTTGGCGAGGGCCTACCACAGACAGGCCAGTAAAATAGCCTCGTCAATAAAAATACTGCAGGCAAACCTGCAGCACTCAAGAACGGCCTCGTCCGTTCTTACTAAGGTCTTTAATGAGGAGCTGATAGATAAAGCCCTCATTCAAGAACCTTGGACATCAAACGCGAACCGAGTAACTGGACTGGGGAACACCTCTGGTGAGGTAGTAGAACATGCTTACGGGATAGGACCGAGAGCATGCATAGTTGCCAGAAGCAACATTAACTACTTTGTAATTCACAATTTTTGCAACGAGGCCACTACCACAATCCACTCGACCATCCATGTGATCTTCCCGGAGAAGAGCGGGACGGAATTACTCGCCTGCTCAGCCTACTTCCCCGGGGACAGAGACGCAGAATCCCCTCCTCCCAGAATTGTGGCAGAACTAATTCCTCACTGCAAGAGGAGGAACATTCAACTGGTGCTAGGGTGCGATGCCAACGCCCACCATACAGCTTGAGGAAGCACCGATATCAACAACAGAGGTGAGTCCTCATTAAACTTTTTATTAGGAGAGGGGCTTACCATAAACAATTTAGGCTCAGAGAGAACCTTTCAAAATAGACAGGAAAAAGGTACTAGACTTGACCATTAGCTCAAAACTGTCCATTAAGGGTTAAAAAAGATAACAGAAGTACACCTTGGTGGAACAATAGCCTAAATAAATTGAGGAAAGAAGTTCGGAAATTGCTTAACAGAGACAAAAGAACAGGTAACTGGGAAACCTACAGAGTTGCTCTAAAGAATATCAACAAAGTGATAAGAAAGGCAAAAACAGAATCTTGGAGGAAGCTATGCGAGGGCATAATAGATGTGCCTAGCAGCGCGCGAATCCACAAGATCCTGTCAAAAGAGCGTGTGCAGGAGATAGGGACGATAAAATGCGCAGATGGGTCCTACACACAATCTAGAAAAGGAACGTAAGAGATTCTCGCAGAGAACCACTTCCCAGAAAGTATAGTGATGAATGGCCTCTAGGATGCCCAACCCAGTGATGGGATTTAACGACCCGGAAGAGAAGACTGGTTGATGGCCGACAAAATAATCACAGCAGCGGCCATAAAGGGGGTGGTCCTATCATTCCAACCTTTTAAATCGCCTGGGGAAGACGGCATTTCCCCTGCTCTGCTACAGAACGGACTTGAGATCCTGCTTCCATTCTCAATAAGACTCTTCAGAGCCAGTCTGGTGTGGAACCATATAACACCAAGCTGGACAGCTACCAAGGTGATCTTTTTTTTTATTATTATTATATGGCATTTATTGTCATTTAGTACAATATAGATTTTACAATCATTTTATAATTTGACAATAAATACAGAATTTCTATCCCACAAGAGAAACCTCGCACGTGGAGAAAATATTACTATAATACATCTACTTTAAAAATAATTCTATGCTACATTACCTAATCTAAAAATGTTTCATAAATGAAATTGTAAATATAAGCTATATACCTATCGTATAAAAAAATATATGCTAACTACTAATTACTAATTGGACGGATAATGTCCAATTGCTCAGTTATTCTTGACATCAACAATGTTGTGAATTTCTTCTCTTGATATTCCTGTTATAAAGAATATTTTCAATTTTCTTTTAAAAGTGAGCAAAGAGATGTTTTGGAGGAGAATGTTAGAGATTTTTTCAAAAACTTTGGGCGCTACGTAAAGAAAGCAACGCTGACCTATGGCCTTAGATACTCTAGGCCTAGGACGATTTTGGTTCATGCGGCTTCTTGTTTCATATCAATGCTCAATATTTGTGATTGGAATTTTATTAAGGAAGAGTCCAATTGCTATTTTTTTGAAATAAAGTTGCCTTATGTCAAGCATTTCCGTTTCGTTGTATAATAAATTGGTAGGATATAGTCTGTCTTTTTTGAAAATTATTTTGAGAAGCCACTTTTGGGAGATATTAAGTACTTCTCAATGCTTGTTTGTTACAGCACCCCAAGATAAAATACCATAATTTAAATGTGATTGTGCAAGGGCATAATACAATACCCTCAACTGCTCTAAGTTAAATATCTTCGTATAAAAACGGAATTTGTGCAAAAGTGATCTTATTTTTTTCGAGATATATTCCGTGTGGTGGTTCCATCTTAAATGACAATCTACAAAAACACCTAAGTATTTATAGTTTTTACAGCTGTTGATTTGAATAAGTTTTGAGTCGACTAAAACTTGTATTGATTGGTATGGGGGTAGTGTGTTACTGTAACTACTAAATGGTACAAAAGTTGTTTTAGTGAAGTTTATTGTAAGCATATTATTGTTAAACCACCTAATGTATTTTACAAAATTTTGTATTATTTTCTCTCGGAGCTGCTCCCATGTTTCAGCCTTATAATAGAAGGCAGCGTCGTCCGCAAAGGCCGCCGCCTCAGCATCTCCCATAACTTTAAAAAGGTCGTTTACGTATATAATAAAAAGGAGAGGGCCAAGAACCGTTCCCTGTGGGTCGCCGCACTCTACTTCCAAGGGATCACTGAGAACGTCATTCACCTCAACTCGTTGCTTTCTGTAACTCAGGTAGCTTACCATATGTTTCAAATCTTTGTCTGCAAAGCCAATGTTCTGCAACTTTTTCACCATTAAAGTATGCGAAATAGTATCAAATGCTTTTGCAAGATCAATGAAGATGCAAATAGATGGGACAGCATTGTCGAGTGAATTATTTACTTTTGTAACAAAGTCCGATATTGCATCCTCAGTTGATCTTGATTTCCTAAAGCCATACTGTTTTTTAGAAAGAAGTTTGTTTACTTCTAAATGTTCCACAATTTGTTTTTTAAGTATTTTCTCGAAAATTTTCGATAAGTTACTTATCAGAGATATAGGTCTGTAATTCGCAACTTCGGACTTTTTACCTGATTTGTACAGTGGCTTAACAATAGCTTCCTTAAAAAGGGAAGGGTATTCTCCATGCGTGATTGATTTATTAATAATATGTGCCAGAGGAACTTTAATAATTTCTGCAATTTCTTTTAAAATTTCTGAAGTCAATCCATCAGGTACTGGTGCTTTTTTTTGTTTAAGGGAGTTTATAACTTCCAATACTTCTATTGGAGATGTATGTTTTATCTTAATTTTTGTGTTCATTTGGTTTCTTCAAATATTGCGTTTTTGTCTATTGTGATATTTTTAGAAAGATTTTTACCGACGTTACAAAAGTAGTCGTTAAAGATATTAGCCATACCCACGTTACTCTCTATAACCTCGTTATTGTTAGTGTTTTTAATTTTTTTTACAGTATTCGTTTTTGTTGTCATTTTATTGTTAATATTTTTAAGGCAATTCCACAATTTATTTTTATAATTTTTATTTTGTTCAAGTTGGTTTTTATAAAAATTAATTTTTGCTAGTTTTAGTAAGTCAGTCAAATTGTTCCTATATACTTTAAATTCTTCTTTTAGTTTTGCATTTTCTGGATTTTTTTGAAGTTTCTTGTATAATATATTTTTTTTCTCAGTAGATTTTATAAGGCCAGATGTTATCCAGTCTTTTGTTTGAATTTCGTCTCTGATAAGTTTTTTTGTTTGGGTACTAGACTGCACAGCTTTTTTTTAAATGTTTAAAAACGTTAAAACCGAGCCGTTAACTGTTCGTTGATCATATACTATATTCCAGTCAACTGCCCTAATTTTACTATTCAATCGATTTTTGTCCAAGTATTGTTTGTACCTTTTTTTGTGACACTTAGTATCCGTTAAATTAAAACAAGTTTCTATTTGTAGTATTTGAGAATAATGATCAGATATAGTGGAGTGGAAACACAAAGCATTTATTGGTTTATTCTGGCTCTTGAAAAAGATATGGTCTATGCATGTTTCTCTATTTATAGATTTTCTTGTTGTAGCATTAATAGTTAACAAGAAGCCCCATTCTTCCAAAATATTCAAGTATTCGTTTCTGTATGCTGTTGTTTCGAATAAGTCTATATTAATGTCGCCCAAAAATAAATCATAGTCGAACTTGTCTCTCTGCAATTCACCTAGGTATCTGTAAAGACAATGGTTAAAATCCATCACGTCGGTAGAAGGTGACCTGTAAAAAGCGATTAGACGTAGTTGTCTACTTTCCTTTCTTATAATTAATTCAATTAATTTCGTATGGCAAAAGTCAACAACTTCATATGTAAAGTCCAGGTCCTGCAAAACGTACACAATGACCCCATCATTTTTGTTAAAATCTCCGTAATTATATATCATTTTATAGCCGTTTATCTCTAAGAGTGAAAGAGCTTGGAGTTGATTTGTTTCGGACAATATTATGCAGTCGAATTGTCTATTTAATGAAGACAATGTGACTTTCAATTCATTGCAATGTTTTGTTAAACTAGAGATATTGTTATGAAAAATCTCAAACGTTCTTTTTCTTTCAGTCTTTGATAATATGTATTTACAGTCTTTAGCAGTCTTACAAATTTGTGTTTCTATATTATTCAACTCAAAATCCTGGATATATTGATCCATTATTAATTACCTTACCCTCAAAATAGATATTGTCTGCTTACTCAACTACAAGAAGAAAAAAAAAACAAAAACACCAAAATTACTCTATTCAGCTCAAGTCAAGATTTCACAAACGCAATTAATAAAAGCTGGAATAAATTTAATTTATTAGACAGTTTTAACAAAATTATTTAAAAATATGAAGAAGATACAAATTTTGGGAAAATAAGAAAATAAAAAAATAAGAGAAGAAAAAAAAAAAAAAAAATAAAATGTACGGTTTATCGCTGTTTTTTGGTTGATCTTGTACTTCGTGGACTGAGGGTTTTGCTTTTCTTCTTTTTTTTTCCTGTTCTCTTTGGGTACTGTAGTTTTGTGTCCGTCCAATGTACTGTCTTCTGATTTTTCTGTCGCCTCTGTATCGCTAGTATTGGAATCGGAGTCTGTCTGGTGTAGATCCTCTGCAGTATAGATTTTACCGTCAATTTGTAGTTTCAGGCCCGTAAGTTTAACCTGCTTGTTCTCCTCTTTATCCTTTTTAAAGTGCTGCCTCAGGATTTTTAGTTCATTTCTGTCTTCTTCGCAAAGATCATTTGATATTGCATATCCTGTATCTTTTAAACCTCTGAGTTTATCGGCGTTTTTAAACAATTCAGACTTTTTTAGATAAGATATGAACTCAATAAGTACTGGAGAAGATTTTCCTTTTCCAAGTCTATAGATATTGTTAATGTCACTTGGTTTGATATTTAAGGAGAGCAATTCATTTAGCTTGTCAATTGCATTTTTAATTAAATTTTTTTTTTTTTTTTGAAGTCCAAAAAGCAAAATGTTATTTCTTCGGATTTTTCTTTCCAAGACTACGTTTTTTTGCTCTAACTTCTTTATTTTTTTTGTGGAATTATCAAGCTGTTTGGTGATATTTGACTCGCTAGCCTGAATCTGCTTGGTTAACTTCTGTGTTTGCTCTTTATTTTGCTCCGAGAGCAATTTATACATATCCGCAAATGACGTTGGGTCCCCCATTAATGTTTCTGCGATGTATTTAGACCTTGGGGATCAATCGAGCAGCACTTACTTGCTTAGCGTATTGAAGGAAACTAAGTACCGATTGGTACCGAGCTCCGCATATCAATTTTGTGTGGAACCACGCTGTCTGTTGGTAGAAGTGGGTGTCGTGGGTGTGTCTACAGATTTGGTACTTGATTGTAGCTCTTATGTTATCAGTAGATTTCACGTTTTGTATGTTTATCAAGATTTTCTTGCGTAGAAAATGATTTTTCCACCTACCTTTTTTACAAGTTCGGTAGAGCTTTTTCAAGCTGTTCTGCTGGTATCACAAAAATTAATTAAAACTCTGTATAAACTGGGTAAAAAGCAATTTGAAATGGCAAGAAACTTTACACACACAACTAATTCGGCGGCGGAACAACAATCTGATCTATATCCCTAAAGCGGGGCGCAAAGAACTCACACCCCAATCATTCAGACCAATAAGTCTGACATCGTTCCTCCTGAAAACTTCAGAAATGGTGATGGATGAAGGGATTAAGGGGTAGGCGCTCAGGACTAACCTCCTTAGTACCCATCAATATGCCTATCAGGCAGGAAAGAGCTGGCTCTTAGTAACTTCGTCGCTAACATAGACGACCCTCTGGAACGTAAGAGCATTGCACTTGCTGCCTTCTTGGACATAGAGGGAGCTTTCAACAATGCGATGCGAAGCTCTCTCTACGAGGCAACAAAATCTAGAGGCATCGACCCGCTAATTTGTAACTGAATGCTGAACGGTAGAGTGATAACGACTTCTCTACAGGAGGAAATGGTCAAGTTCAGGGGCTGTCCGCAGGGAAGGGTACTCTCTCCGCTTCTGTGGTCGAGGTTTAAGCATAATATGCGGACGATCTATGGTCTATTTTTTCCCAAGATAGATTTTGACATTGTCAACTTTGAAGCATAAACAATAAATACCTCTTGGCCCTGTTTGGTCGCAAAATGAGGTGTCCCTGCAGGTTGACATCAGTTTTACAATGCATGCCGTGCAAATGGCATCTTGCGACCAATAAGTGGCATTGTTTATGTTTCAAAGTTGACAATGTCAAAATCTATAATGGGAAAAAATAGACTGTAGGTATAATAGCCAAGGGTGGTTCTAGGACGAGGGTCTCAGCTGCACTCCAAGAGGTGCTAGACTGCGTGCTTGATTGGTGTGAGAGAGGGAAAATTTTTATTTATTTATTTAATAATATCAGGAATTCCAACAGACCGAGGTCCAAAACGGCATTCACAAAATAACAAATAATAAACAAGGCGAATACTAAAACTAAAAAACTAGAAAGTTAACTTAAAATGGAAATTTTCGATTAATAATAATTATTATTATGTTTACTTCGCACCGCAATATAGAAGAAAAAAATTCATATTCTCCCTATCTAGCTTTTTTTTGTTTAAATTATTCTCTGAAGATAAACTTTTTTGATATTGGTTTTAAAGGAAGTGAGTGAGGAGTTAAAAAGATCGATGTTTTGAAAATTGTTATTGTAGGTTCTAGTAATTCGAGAGATTGGTGAATTACGAGTATAATTAGCGGAAAAATTTGGCTCTGTGAAAAGCTGATGGTTTCGACAGTTCCTTATAGACTGCATTGAAGCTTATGAGTGACAATAATTCTGATGATTCTACCAGATTAAATTTTATTAAAAAAAAAGATCTGTTCATTTTGTTCGTGTCTGTCTTTTATTTCCACAAATTTCTGCGACTGCTTCAAGAAATCAGTACTGACCGTATTGTCATAGACTCCCGTACTTCTGTAGTGCAGATATCTGAGAAAATTATTTTGTACAATTTCTAGCCTTTTAGCATGTACATCATATTGTGGTAACCAAACAACCGATCCATACCTCAATTTGCAATATACAAATAAAAATTCGTCCAAAATGTTAGCAAGTGAAAATATTTATTCTTCTAGGACCTGATGGCAGCAAATATCAAGAAATTGAGGGAACAATTGTTTTATAGGTTTACAAAAAAGGGAATTTTATTTTGTTTTTCTTGAATTGAGATTGAATTTCTTTATTATAAGAATTGAGAATACTAAGTATATTATGTTTTTTGTCCCTAGGTAATGCACAGATTGAATAATCTAGATATTTTTTAATGTCAGTTTGAAAGGTAATAGTGGTAGACATGTACTTAGAAGATCATTCATCCAATCCCAATGGGTAAATGATGAAGGCTTTCACGGCCGGTCAAATCTAGTAAGAAAGTTTTTTTCCAGGCTATAATGTCGTGGTCGAATGATTATTCTACCTAACGTTTCGTCTACTGCTGCGGTAGACATCTTCAGAGGCGGTGTGGTAGAGGACGAAGTGTTCTCTTCCGTGTTCCTCCGATGACCAGTGTTGTTCCTGGGACAACAAGGTTAGGTGCTGATTTCAGCGTTGCCAAGGTGCTGATTTGGACAAAAACGTCAAAAACGTCAAATTCAATATTTTAGAAAATAACAGTATATTGAAAAAAAAAAAACAGTGTAAATAAATTGGGTAGATATATTTTATTTTAGGAAACAAAATAAATAAAAAAATAAAAAACAATTCTGTTGTACAATTATTCTAACTTAACATATATAACAAAACAAAAACATACTACCAGGTACCTAACCTCACATTTATGGCCTACTTCCTACTCCAACTCATCATTTGTTTCTTCGGCAGCTAAAAATGTGGATTCCGTAAAATTTAGACAACCAACTGGCGGACTCCAGCTGTCAATGCCATTAGTACAGTGTTTTATATAATCCTTCACAATAATTATTGCCGCACATGTTTTTTATCTGTAAACGATTCCGAAATTTATTCTTATTTAAGGATAATTGAGAAAACCCTCGTTCTGCTGCTGCAGAAGAATGGGGTAATGTTAGTATTACTTCTACAACTTTTGCTAAATTCGGGAACATTCGCTCATTTAATGCATTTTTCATGTTTAATACGGAACCCCAAAATTCGGCAACATCATTATTGAAACTTGAGAGGTTTTGTTCACCCAATAACTGCCATTCGGTATTTACAGCTTCTATATCACATTGCACCTGTGGAAACAAATTTATAAAATTTGCTATTGAGCGAACATTTTGATGTGATTTTACAGCTGCAGGAGCAAAATTTGCAGCAAAAATCAAATATTTATCCTTGAAATCAAATCGACTAGAAATCTGACTAGTAATCTCTATATAAAACGCTAAAATATGTTTTTGGAAGTTTTCAATATCTTGTTTATTATGTGATCCCTTTTGACTTTCGGCAATTATGAAGACTTCTGTTTTTGCTCCACAATATATTTGATTTAAGTCAACATAATTACGTGAATGATTTAGCTGATTCACATGAATCAACTGTTCTTTATTCACTATTTCATGTTTTACATAATTTTTAAGAATAACTTTGTAAAGCGTAGTTAACCTTTCAAGCAATATTGGAAACTTTGAAGATCCTGATTGCAGTTCCAAGTTTACTTTAACTATAAGGTCCAATATCTATAACAGAAAAAGGATATACAACTTATAGACTGGATTCCGCAAAGCATTAAGTAGAGACTTAGCAGTTGGCAAGTTGTCCTCTAGTGCAGCACGTTGAAAAAACAGTGTTAAAGAGCTCCAATGTCCTAGCATTCGATCAGTCACAGCCTAAACAAATTACTATGACCAATTTTGAATAGTAAATAACCACCTAGTCTGGCTAGCATACAACATTTTGTGTGGCTTTTCCTCTACAAAAACTTGACATTCCTTTAATTCGGATTGTCTCTTACATGTGCGAAGTATGCATATATATCTCTTACAAATTGCTCGACAACATCTGGTAACCTTCTTGTTGCGGCTGAAGAGCATAAATGTAATGCATGGCATAGGCACACTTGAACGTAGATATGTGGAGCAATCTCCCTAAACCTAGCTTGTACTCCAGATATCCTTCCCATCATAGTGCTGGCACCATCGGAAGCAAATGCAATAATGTTGGTATACGGAATTTTATGTTCATCAAAGATTTTTTTCAATGATGTGAATATTGCCTCAGATGTTGTATCTTCTACTTTAATTAAATCTAAAATTCTCTCTTTTACACTGCCATTCTTCCAGTATCTCACAATTATTATTGATGATTTCTCTATGCTTATGTCCGTCATCTCGTCAATTATGACTGAAAACGCCATAGTTTTTAAATCCTGTATTAGTTCTTTTTGAAAATATGGCGCTAAAACTCGAACTACAAGTTGTGTTGCTTTCTTTCGTTTTATTTTCACTTCCTGGCATATTTCTGAATCTGGATATATACTTTTTTGAAATGAAGGTAAATAATCTAGTAGCAAGAATGGCAAATTATGAATGCACATAAAGGCAGCCATTTTTAATTCTGCTTTTTTTACTTGGTGCGATTTCATATCTTGTTTTTGGAAATATACATCAACTGGTTGGGTAGTTTTTGCTGCATGTGTTCGGTTTTTATGCGCAGGCTTCTCTTCGTGTCTTTTTAAGTGATACTTTGCACCACTTAATTTTGTAAGACAAATTTTGCAAAACAAATAATCTAACGACTCATCTAACCAGGGAAACTCCATAACCAGATTACTAGGTTTTAGCTTTGGCTTCCACACATTCCTTTTTTTCTGAATCTGGATAGGAGTAGTGTCAAGGTTTTCATCATTTTCCTCCTGCTCTTGCTCTGTATCAACATCGTCTCTGTTGTTGTTCAAAACTGGTATGGGCTCTGGTACACTTTATGGACACACGAATTTTGCAAAATTTTAAATTTCATGAGAAAGAGGGTCTTCTATAGAGTATTAAAAAAAAAAAAATGCGGATTATCCAGTACTTTTTGAGAAATCAATTATTTCTACTCTGTTTTGAGTTGATGCTTGTTCACGTTAAACTACCTATATTCTTTGTAAATTTTTTTCGTGAAACAAGGAGCAATCTAAGAAAAAAAAATATTATATATAAAATTTCAAGGTGTTTATTTAAAAAAGGGGTTTTCACGTTATTGTGGATTTACGTTTCCGAGGATCTTTTTTTGGAGATTTGGCGAGAGGAGCAAGCAATCCAAGAAAAAAAAAATTAAATTTCAAGGTGTTATATTTAAGGGTTTTCCCGTTTTTGGTGGATATACGTTTCCGAGGATCTTCTCTTTGAGACTTGGCGAGCGGAGCGAGCAATCCAAGAAAAAAAAAAAGAAAAAAAAATTAAATTTCAAGGCTATATTTACAAAAGGGGTTTTCACGTTTTTGGTGGATTCACGTTTCCGAGCATCTTCTATTTGAGATTTGGTGAGTAGAGCGAGCAATGGAAAACTCCTAAATTATTTAAATTTCAAGGTGTTATATTTAAAGGTTCTGGTGTACTATAAGTAGGTACCTGAAAACTAGACATTTTTTCTTTATAGACAGTTAAGTTTTATCTCAAAATAGTTTACGGAGACTAGCACGCAGTACAAAGATGGGTTAGTGGTTAGGTTGCATGTTTTTGATCAGTTTCAATACGGCACAGTAGTTACTGTTGGTTAGAGTGTACAAATTTCAATAGTTAAATAGGTATTATACGCTTTATCATTACTCAATAATGTTTTTTTCGAAAAATGGTTTGAACACTTAGCACTTCTTTCAGTTCGAATATCTACCACATGATGCTTTTCATGTTTATTGAATTTTTATCTGCTAACCAGAGCGATTGCGTGATATTAGGCTGATAAGAATAGATATTATATATTGATCTGTGTCAAAGGTTGAGAAGAGGATTCACTCAATATTTATAAAATCCAATTTATACCTGGTTATTTGCGCCAACATTTTTGAGCATAAAATAATAATTTGAGATCAAACTATAGAGAACAAGCATGATATATATTTGTGTGAAGGACCTTTACTAAACTGTTACCTTTTTCTCAAGTTTTTCTTTTTTCTTAGGGTTTTTTTTTTCTTGATGATTATTAATATGACAGGTTAGTTTCAGTAAGTTTGGATTTACTCTGTTTCGTTTAAAATGCCAACATACTAGAACTTATTACGAGCATGTGCCTAGCTGTTTGCTTTGGTTCCGATTAATTAGTTTTCAACAAAAAAAAAAGTAGGTACATGATCCTCAGATTTTTGGCTTTTAAACTAAACTATACTATACACCACTCCTCACTTTTTGAATTTTGAAATTTTTGCAAATATCGAGGTACTTATAGTGCACCAGCCCCTATTTAAAAAAAGGGTTTTTCTGGTTTTTGGTGGACTTACGTTTTCGAAAATATTCTCTTTGAGATCCGGCGAACGAAGCGACAGCATCGCGAATATCACATTTTCAACAATTTAAGTTGTTGTTTTTTTTAAATACTGGATAATCCGCATTTTTTATTGTTTTAATAAACTACTTGAAGTACCCTCTTCCTGATAAAATTCAGAAAAACGCCAATTTTGTGTGTCCGTGAAGTGTACCGGCACCCTGGTATGGCAATTTCCGAGACAATTTCATTTTCATTTATGTCAGCTTCTGTATCCAAAGTTATAGATTGGCTTCTAGGTGGGTTACTTGTAGAGAGTTTCGATCTAATCAACCACCTGAAAATCAAATTGGAATGTAAAAATAATCTTATAAGTTATTCTGCTTACTTGTCCATTATTCGATAAAATCCATCCACCACTAAATTTAAGATCGCAACCAGTCTCCAGTCTTCTTAACCCTCTAAAACAACACCCTCAACACCTACCCTACCACAATGGTCTACATTTTTGAAACCTACAAATAGCAAAAATCAAAATTCGTCTTTAAAGTTTTAGTAGTTGATTTATTATTATTAATTCAAATGTTTATTTTTAATACTTACGTTACGTTACGAAATTAAAAAAATACGATACACGCTCGAATCGGGCGGCACGGGCACGATGTAAATTGTAGAATAAATAAAAATAAACAAAAACAATATTTATTTACTTGCGCCCACTGTCAACAAAATGTCAATGGCTAAATGTCAACTACGAATGGGTGTGTTCAAAAATTACAGAATGAGTGCTCGAACTGCTCGACTGTTCGTTTTTCGTTCCGACCACACCTTGCTCCAACGGATCGGAGGCGGACAAGTGTCTAGTCTCCATCGTATCGTCAGGGAAGTTCTCGAAATTTATCGTATGGTTAAATGTGCTGATTTTCAGTTGAAATGTGCTGATGTGCTGGTAAAGGAGCAATTGTGCTGATTTCAGCATAATTGTGCTGGTAGGAACAACCCTGCCGATGACTGGATTCGACGTTGTTGGACCTGCGTTATTTATATCCAGGGTTATGGGCGTGGCTTGTATTACGCTATTTTCTTTTTCTCGTGCTCGGAAAAGAAGGGTCTTTGTTTTTCGGAGAACTGGCAACCAGCTTTTGTTGAGGTTCATGCCCTCTTCTTTTCTGTTGAAGTTGTTGTGGCGTTTCTGTATCTCTATGGCTTCTCTGTGGAGTCTGGTCTAAAAATGCTTGGTTCCATCCAATGCTTGAGTCTGGTCGATTTGAAACTGTCAGCAGGGACAGTTTCTTTTGTGCTCTTTGACCCTGGTGTTGATAGAGCGTTTGGTTGTTCCCACATAGACAGATACCCAAGAGCAAGAACTTTTATAGACGCCAGCCGTTTCAAGAGGTGCCCTAGGATCCTTGGTCGAACTTAGACTTTGCTGAATTGTTCTTGTGGGCGTGTAGATGGGCTTAATATTGTGTATTTCTAGCGTTCGTCCTATGCGATCTGTGACATTTTTGATGTAGGCAAGAAAGGCTCTCCCTGCCACCTGTGCTGGTTCCTTATTATTTGTTCGCTGTTGCTTCGGTCTCAACGCTCTATTTATCTCCTGCTTGGAGTACTCATTTCCTTCAAGTGCTGATTTTAGGTGATGCATGTCGTCCTGAAGTTATCTGGGTTCACAAATCCGGATTGCCCTGTGAGATAGAAATTTAATGACTCCTCTCTTTTGCCTAGGATGGTGATTAGATTCCTTGTTGAGGTATCTGTCCGTATGCGTCGGCTTCCTATATACTCTGTGTCCCAGTTTACTTGAGGGTAATCTTTCTAAGAGGACGTCCAGGAATGCAATTTTGTTGTTCTTCTCAACTTCCATCGTAAAATGTATCCTGGGTTCTGTTGAGTTTAGATGATTAATCATCGCAGCGTAATATAAGCCAAGCCCATAACCCATAGCGCAGGTTCAACCACGTCGAATCCAGTCATCGGAGGAACACGGAAGAGAACACCGCCTCTGAAGATGTCTACCGCAGCAATAGACGAAACGTTAGGTAGAAATATCACTCGACCACGGCATTATAGCCCGGAAAAAACTTTTTTACTAAATCCCGTTGGGGTTCCTTATATTTGTTTGTAAAAAGTATTATTAAATTTACAATAGATTGAATCAGAAATTTAATCAATAACTTTCAAAAAAATATCTTCTGGAATATTTGTCAGTTTTTTATATCTTCCCATCTAGAATTAATGCTTCGAACTACCAAATCTAAAGAACTAACATCACTGAATCAAGAAATAACATCAAGACTAGTTAATTCATTATTTTCAGGTAATTCCTCGTCTTTTATAAATTCTATGAAATTGAAAGTGTCTTTAACATAATATTCATCATTTACATTGTAAGCATTAGTAAGTAGGTATATAGTTATATATGAAGAAATTTTACTATTTGGAGAATTTATAGGGGCAATTATTGGTCTTAGACTAAGATTTGGCCTACGTATTTTTGGAAGCTCATAGAATTTTGGTGAAGTTTGGTTGTAAAATGTTAATGTCTTAGCAACCTCATCAGTGATATATTTTTTTGATTTCAATTAAGAAACAATCTTATTTGCTTGTTTTTTAAGAGTGGAAGTACGATCTCTATTTAAGTTTTTATATGAGTTTTCGTCAGATAGTATTTCAAGGCTTTTTTCGAAATTTAATTCTCTAGGTATTATCACAGTTACATTTCCTTTCAGATTTGGTTATAATTAAATTTGGATTTTCTTTCAAAAAGTTAGTAAATTGGTTGGTAATTTGTGCTCAGAAAATATATTTTTTGTCTTCATCAAATCCATATAAAATCGATTCTACATCAGCTAATATTCTTTCTATCGAAATATCATCAACTGGAGGAGATAGTGCAAGCTTGAAACCTAAGAATAAAAACTTTTTGACATCAAAAGGGATTTCAACATCACTAAGGTTGTTCAACCGATTATCTTTGATTAAACTAAAAACAGTAAACAATCTAGGTAAAAGACTTTTTCTTGAAATGGTGGAAATACAAAAGAATCTTGATAATTTAAACACAAAAAAAGAAATACAGAACTTGAGTTGCATATATTCCTACTTTTTAAAATTTAAAAATAATCAAAACTAATTTTGAAA